CAGCCACTAGGACATACGGAGTCATGGGAGTCTTCTGCCCCAATTTGGGGAATGGTGGTACTGACAATTCCTTGACTGCCTGGCTAATGCAGTTCCACTGGCTCATTCCATGTGTGCCAGCTTGAGTGCAGGGGTTGTGGGGCCCAGTCTAATGCTAGGTTTCTCTAGGGTGGCCTGGGGCCATGTTTTAATTTTGATCCCTGGACTTATTTCCTTCAACTTTCCCCAAGCAAGAAACATATCCCAGTACAGTTGTTGGAGTTTCGTTCTACCCTATGATCTCTATTCCTTTCCAGTACCTGGTAGATTAGGGGCAGCCAAATATAGCAGCCTTTCTTCTTGAGGTATATTCTGGGGAGATTGAAGTGGAAATAGAAGTTCTAAGGTCTGAATTAGAACAAGATATATTCCATGCTTGTATAATTATGTCAAAATGGCTTCTACTGTCATTATATAACTAAAAAGAACCAATTTTTTATGTATGTCTCATAAATTCTAAGCAGACTTATATTAAGCCTGTGGCGATCACTTCCCCTGTTTTACCACTAGATGGCACCATAAGTCCATGTTTGCTGTAAATCCACTCTTCCTGTTATTGCTGACCCAAACCAGTTTTGTCCAGATCTGCAGTTAGTGCTGTTGTTCATCATGAACTGAAAATCTATCTGCAAGTCTCTCCTAAAAGATATATTTTGTTGCTTTGATTGACATTTGCTTTATAGTGAATTTGAGCCCCTTTAGATATATCCACTGGCTATTTGTCTCTTTTTTGAAAAATATCTATTCAGTTCCTTTTTTTTTGTGTGTGTGTGTGTGTGTGTGTGTCTGTGTGTGTGTTTGTGTATGTGGTGCTGGGGATTGAACCCAGGGCCTTGTGCAAGCGAGGCAAGCACTGTACCAACTGAGCTATATTATATCCTCGGCCCCTCTTTGCCTACTTTTTATTTGGGTTATTTGCTGTATTTATTTATTTTTTTTCTGTCAAATTATAGGACTTCCTCTTATTTTATATATGAATAGTTTGTATAGGTATCTACACAGAGTTTTGCTTATTATGTAGATTGTCCCCTTTTGTGACTTTTCACTCTTGAATCTTTGCTGTGAGAAAACATTTTAGTTTGATATATCAGTCTCACTTGACCATTTTTCTTTTCTTTTCTTTTCTGTGCTTTTAGTGTCATCTAAAAATCATCATCAAAGCCACTGTCATGAAGCTTCTGTTTTCTCTAGGAGTTACAGTACCATGTCTTACATTTAATTTCTAAATCTATTTTGAGTTCATGTTCTTGGTATAGTATAATATATGGGTACAATTTTATTCTTTTGCATATGGACATCCAGTTTTCCCCAGGAAAATTTCCTTTCCCTATCATGGACCCTTGTCAAAATCAGTTGATCATACTGAATGGCATTATTTTCAAGGTCCCTACTGTTTCATTGATTTGTATATCTATATGTATGCCATTACAATACTCTTTTTTTTTTGTACTCGGAATTGAACCCAGAGGCACTTAACCACTGAGCCACATCCCCAGCCCTTTTTTATATTTTATTGAGACTAGGTCTCACTAAGTTTATGAGGCTACACTGTACTTCTGATCCTCCCCCCTCAGCCTCCCGAGTCTATTGTGATTATAGGTGTATGCCTCTGCACCCAGTTACTCTTAATAATTGTAGTTTCATAATATGTTTAGAAATCATGGAATATGAAGTTTCCAGTTTTGCTCTTTTTTCAAAACTGTTATGGATATTCAGGGGCCATCATGATTCCATATGAATTGCGCAATTGTTTTTGCTATTTTCATTAAAAAACAATACCTTTGTTATTCTGACAGGTGTTACAGTGAATGTATAGAACACTTGGAGTCTGGACATTTTATTTATTTATTTATTTTGAATTTTTAATGTTTATTTTTCAGTTTTTGGCGGACACAACATCTTTTTTTTTTGTATGTGGTGCTGAGGATCAAACCCGGGCCGCACACATGCCAGGTGAGCGCGCTACTGCTTGAGCCACATCCCCAGCCCCAAGTCTGGACATTTTAATAAGCATTTGAATCACCACAGTTATTTTTAGCTGGTTTGTGTTATGACAATACAATACCTGAGGCTGGGAGTTATCAAAAAAGAAATCCTTGGAGCAGTGGTTGTAGCTCAGTGGTAAACAGCTTGCCTAGCACATGTGAGGCACTGGGTTCAATCCTCAGCATCCCATAAAAATAAATAAATAAAATAAAGGTATTGTGTCCATCTATTCATATTTTAAAAATTTAAAAAATCCTTTGCCTGTGACTGTAGGACTGTAGCTCAGTGGTAGAGCGCCCACCTCGCACATGTGAGGCATTGGGTTCCATCCTTAGCACCACATAAAAATAAATATATTGTGTCCATTTACAACTAAAAAACATTTGAAAAAAAATCCTTTAGCTCACTGTTCTGGAGTAGGGAGGTTCAAGATCATTATGCTAGCATTTACTAGTGTGGACCTCATGCAGCATCAACTCATGGCAGAAGACAGGAGAAACAGCTAAGTGCTGAAGGACATACATGTATAATAGACACCAAGAGAAAGGGCCAGTCTCAGTATGTAGCAGCCTCTTCTTTTTCATTTTTTTATTTTTATTTTTGAGAGAATTTTTTAATATTTATTTTTTCGTTTTCGTTGGACACGTCTTTTTTGTGTGTGTGTGCGCTGAGGAACTAACCCAGTGCACCATGCATGCCAGGCGAGTGCGCTACCGCTTGAGCCATATCCTCAGCCCTGTAGCAGCCTCTTCTTGAAATCCATTTCTGTAAGAACTAATCCAATCTTTTAAGAACAGTATCATTAATTTTTTTCTCTGCTTTATTTTATTTCTGCTACAATCTTTATTTTTTCCTTTCTACCAATGTTTTCTTATTGTACAGATAAGTACACCACCTATATGTATAGATGTTTAGATGGGTGGTGAACTTAAGACACTTCTTCCAAATGTACGTCTATAAACTTATCTCTCCCTACTGCTTTTTGCACATCCCATAAGTTTTGCTGTGTTGCTTTTTTTTTTTTAATTTTTCATTTGTTTCAAGATATATTCTAGTTTCCCTTTTGATTTCTTCTTTAACTCATTCATTTTGGAGTGTATTGTTTGATTTTTCTATATATTTGTGAATTCTCCAGTTTTCCTTAATGCACTTGACTTTCATTGTGTTGTGGTTTGAAAAGAGAATTGGTATGA